CTGAGGCTCAGAGTTGTGGGGACTCGCCTGAGGTTACACTCAGGTTACACCTGGGGCTATGATGCCACAGCCCACTTGTTCTTTTATCTCCATGATGCTAAGAGTGGAAAATGTATCACCTATGATGGGCTCACTCAGCCTGGCTCTGCAGACGTTCTGGGCTTCGTGACTTTGTTGTGGGGGGCTGTCCTGCTTCAGTGTGGTGGCAGCATGCTGTCCCCCGGTGATGTCCATGCCCCAATCCCCAGAGGCTGGGACCCTGTCACCTTACTCAGTGACAGGGACTTTGCAGACATACCTGAGATCTTGAGGAGGGGGTGGTCCCCGGTGGTCGGGTGGACCCCACAGCATCCCAGGGGGCCTTAGAAGAGGAAGGAGAGTGAGAAGGAGATGGGGACGGCAAGATGCAGCGATGCCGGCTGGAGGGTGAAAGGCGGGCCGCGAGCAGGGAACGCAAGTGGCCTCCAGAAGCTGGAAAGGCTGAGAGACGGATTGTCTTCTGGAGCCCCCAGAAGGAGCCAGTCCTGCCAGCCGCCCCCCGAGCTTCAGCCAGCGAGGCCCGTGGGGGACATCTCACTTCCGGTGCTATGAGATAAGCTGGTTTTAAACCACCTGATGGCAATTTGTTCCAAGAGTAGCGGGAAACATCTTCCACCCTCTGCCCCTGTGACAACCAGAAATGTCTCCAGACTTGGCCCAAGGCCCCGGCAGCGGGAGGATGTGGGTAAAGTGGGCCGCGGTGCGGAAGCACCTGGCCAGACCCTGCACTGAGTGTTCCGCCCGAGTGGCCCAGCCAGCTGCGCGCGCCCCCGCCCACCCCTTTTCCTCTGAGCCTCCAGCCAACCTGCCGTGATTGCCTCCCTGGCCCATTCTGCAGATGAGAAGGCCGAGGCTCAGCACAGTGACATGGGCACCTGCAGGTGAGGTTACACAGTTAGAGAGGGCCTCTGTCTCAGACGCTGCGTCCCTGAACCCAACATGTCCCCCCGGGAGGCAGAGCTGGCTGTGCCGCCTCAAGGCGGCCTCTTGGGGATTCAAAGCCCCAGCGGGGGGTAGCCAGGCCTCCATCTGCTACCTACATCCCTGCCCTCTGGGCTTGGTGGCCTTTTCAAGGCTTGGCTGCTTCTCCAGCAGCTGGTAGAGACCCCGCTGATGTCAGCAAAAACCATAGGGTCCCAGGTGGGGCTGTGGAAGGGCACGAGCGAATGTGGCACAGAGAAGTGAAGCCAGGAGGTGAGAGCCTGGCCAGGTTTTGAGTCCCAAATTTCTCTTCAGCAGCAGGGGTCAGAGCACTGGCTTAGGAGCCCAGTGGCCTGGGTTCCAATCCTGTCTCTACCCCTTGGGCAATTGTCTAACCTTTCTGGGCCTTTCCCTCTCTGGCGATGGGCTCCTGAGGATCGCCCAGGGCTGGCTACCATTTTCCTCCAGTTTATTTGCCCAGGAAACTCGTAATTCACAGAACACTTTGCAGGAGGAACTTTCCACGGAACACAAAATGTTTGTTCTGTCCTTCTCAGCTGCGGCAGCGCAGCTGCCCGTGGGTTGGGTGGCATTCTGGTCTCACCCATCAGAGCGGAGAGGCTGGTGGCGCTGAATGTGCCTCTAGACCATGGGTGTATCATTAGGGCTGGAGAAATCGGACTCAGAATAGGGAAGGCTTGGCCCCAGAGATGGGTTCCACTTACAAGTTTGGGCAAGCATGTGACCCATGCTCAAGCAATGAGAACCCTCCCCGAGACATTCTACCAGCATTACTTGGCATGAAGAATTCCTTTTCTGCTGGGGTTGCTAAATTGGCAGGCCCTAAGCCTGCAGCAAGAGAAGAGAGTTTCTCAGAGAGATGGAGAGACAGAGGCCTGAAAGATAATGCTTGAGCCCTTGGAGCCAGCCATTCCTGAAGCCATCTCTTGATTTCCCAGTTGCATGAGCAAATAGATTATTTCTTTAAGCCTAGGTGAGCTGAGTTTCTATCACTTGCAGCCCAAACGCTCCTGAATTATTCTCTAGACCCTTTCTTGCTCAAAGCCTCTAATCTTGGCTGCCTGATATAGCCCCACAGGGGAAGAGTCCCACCTGGGCTCACTCACCCTGAGATTAGCAGAGAGGCTGGGAGGAGAAAACAGAACTGCATTTGTAAGCAGGTCCTGGTGGCTTGGGAAAATCACCTCTAACGGTCATGCAGCAAACTATCCCCATTCAACTCCGGGGGGCGGCAGGCTCTGTTTGCACGTAATCATGGCAGAAGGAAGGGTGGGTGGCTGGGGAGTGAGGGAGAACAAAGGGCTGGGGGGTGGACGGACTTCATCATCCCCTGCCGGCTAATGGTAGCTAGTTAATTTCCTTCCTGAAGAGACCAGCGCTGACCTTCACCTCTAGCCCCCATTAACTGCTGGCAATGCTTTGTCAGCGTGTTTATGACAAAGTAATTATACAGAGAGGGGAAATCTCGCAGAAAGATGAGAATTCTGGCTGGGACAGGAGATGTGGGCTGAGTCTGAGTTCGGAGCTGCATTTCAGTTCTCCACGGACATGGCCTGGTTAACCACAGACCTCGGGCAAACTTCCAAACCCCATCTCAAGCCCCTCATACCTGCTGGCGGGTTGCAAACTGGATACCCCTGAGGGAATGATTTGGGGCCCCAAGTCGACATGCTGGCAGAAATAGCTTTGCCCCCAGTAGAAGGCAATTCCAGCCCAGGGGACAAGACGCTTCCTCCTAATGAGTCCAGCGTCCTTGGCCGGCACACCCGCCCCGTCCTCCCTGGAAGACGTGTGCATGTGGGGCTCCTACAGAGCAGTGTCAAGTCCCAGCTCCCGGGCATGTGGGCTGGCACCTGCTTCCCTCCAGCCGGCCTCGCCCTGGTTTTCTTTGCGTGGGCTCTCCGCCGGCACCCAAGCGTTCGGCTCTGGTGCTCTGAATCCGTCCTCTTGCTCTGACCATTATGCGTTTGCCTGGGCTGCGCCCCTGCCTACAACACCGTCCCCATCCCCTCCCCCCCCACTTCCCTCTGCCCGATGGGGGAAAATGAGATCTGAGTTTTCTCCTCCCCCAGGAGCCTCCCGGACCCTCCAGGCAGCATGTAGGCCCCTGTTCCATCCTCCCTTAATTCCCTGTGACTAGAGATGCTCGGGACCGTGGCGATGCCCACCTCCCCCACTGACTCTGGGCAGCACACCGAGGGCCAGGGCTTTGTCTCCCTTCGTCGGGAGCCCCAGAGTCTTGTCCGGGAAGGGGCCTGTCGGGCACACACTGGGGGTACAAGCAGGATGAAGAGACAAGGCTCCTGTGCCTGGCGACTTCGCTGGTTGATGCTGGGGGAAACGCAGTGAACTTCTGGGCTTCTTGCCGGTCGGGCAGCATCCCTTTTCTGTAACGTTTGAGAACTGCCCATCCCTTGTCCTTCAGCCAGGTGACGGGGTGGCAGACCCCCATCCTGGAGCCAGGGATAGATCACGTGATGGCAGTCGGCCCGTCACCACCTGAGAGAGAGTCATGTGACCAAAGCCATCCAACCTGGCTTTTGCCTTTGGAAAGAAGTACTGTCCTTCCACTGGGCAACTAAGTGGGTGGCTGGGGGCCCTGGAGGCTCCCCCATGTTTGCCAACAGAGGAGAGCAGAGCAAAGAGATGGAAAGAGGGAGGCTGAGTCCTAAGACACTGACTTCCCGGATGGAGATGTTCCTGAAGCAAGGTTTGTGCTTGGACCTGTGTCTATTAGAAGAGCCAGCACATCCCTTTTGTATGAAGTGGGTCCCAGCTTTCTGTCATCTACAACCAAATGAGCCTTGGTGAATACGGAGAGGCGGGCAAGTAACAAGGCAATGGCAGGGCAGGAAGACACGGGTTTATGGGGGGAACACAGGAGCCTCAAAAGAGGAGAAGAGAAAGGCTGGAAGGAGAGCCTGGGAAGCTATCCTGGATGAAGTCATAGGTCAGCAGAAACCTGCTGGCTGAGTAGCATCGAGCTAAGGAAAGGGGGTGGCAGAGGTGAGAGGGACAGGCCACGCTAGAAAAGGGAAATCAACTGGAGCTGACTTCCTCTCTAAGGGGACAGACACATCAGCTCATCTAATGGACAAGTGCAAAGATAGATCCTGCTTCAGGAATCACTGGATCCAGGGCTCCAACGAGCCTTAGGACTCCCCTTTAAGGGACATACCATAAATGCTGTGTGTTGGCCCAGGCACTGATCAGTGTGTCAAGGATCTCAACACCCTCCCAGTCACATTGAAAAGAGAAAAAGGGTTGTTCGATGACATTCTTTACTGAGGCTCTGTGATGAGCCAGCCCTTCCCTCCACCAAGGGCCATGGCTCCTGGGCGTTGGAAATCCATGGTCCAGAGGAGGAAACACAGAAGAGAGTGAAGTACAGGTGTGGCATTGGGAAGGGCGGTGGACATATAGCTGTGTGTGATGTGGACGTAACGAGTGGAGATGTAAGTCCCCTTCCACAGTGGTCCTGCCTGGCTGACCACCACCTCCCTCTATCCTTCTCTATCTTCCTTCCCAAGTGTCCCCCAGATGCCATCCCGCTTCTTTGTTCTAGAAATGCCACTGTGACCACAAGCCTTTCAAGGGAACTCAGCACACCCATAAGCGCCATGTTGGTGTGTGACAAACAGTCCCTAACAGTTGGCCAGCAGAGGTTACCTGACCCACGGGCTAGCCAGCGATTTCCACTGGGGCCTCAAGGGGAGGGATTTGTTCTCTGGAAGTTCAGCTAAGAAATCCTGAGAGATAAAAGTGGAGGTAGGAAGGTTCTAGAAAGGTCAGGTGGGAAGAGATCAGGCAGCCATAATGGGCCTTGAGGAAGTCAGGTCTTGAGCGAGGGAAGAATGGACAGCCATGATAGAAGGGGGCCAGGGAGGCAGTGGACAGATGCGCCTTTGCCCAGCCCCAGGCCAGGCCCAGCCCAAGTGCTGACTCTCGCTAGCCACATGTCAGGAGGCAAGAAGGTGGACAAGAGCGTTTATGAAACTCAGAAGGCACAGGACCAAGGGTTCACTGGTGTCTCCCTGCTCTTCCTGAGAGAGTCTGGCTGTTTGTTCTGGTCTCCACCTGCCCCTGGGAGTCCATGTCTGGGGTTCTGTCCACCTGGCTGCTGTCTTCTGTAGTTTGGGGATCCCTGCTTTCAAGAGTCACAGCTTCAAGGTGGGAGATGAAGGTCAAGACGTCGCTGTTGCCGGGGGGAGCCTGGTCACGGTCATGAGGAAACTGGCTTCTAGGCTCTGCACCTTCGGAGAGAAGATCCCAGGAAGAGAAGCTGTTGCCAAAGGGACACAGGGGCCCCCTTGTCTCAAATAACTGAAGCCATCTGGCTCACCGGGGACCCATCTCTGAGACCCCGCCCGCTCTCACCTGGACGGTGTAGTAGCTCCCGTCTTCCCCCAGGTCCCCCTTGGTTCTGTCCCCTCACTGTCTTCGGTGAGACTTTAACACTTGCTCCTGCTCAAAACCCGCCAGGGGCTCCCCAGTACACTTAAAAGAAGATGCAGACCCTTCTTCTGGGCTTCCCAGCTCGGAGAGACCCAGCCCTGGCTGGTAGAACGCCCTACCTCTTGCTCCCTAGGTTCCTGCAGGACTCTGAACAGGACCCTTGCACGTGCTGTCCCCTCCACCCGTAGTGCCTTCCCCGATCTTTGCTTGGCTGGCTCCTTCTCCTTCAGATGCCACCTCCTCCTGGAACCTTCTCTGATTGCCTTGTCAAGGCAGCTCCTCGCCCATCATGGCATTGCCCACCCCTCCCAGGTTTTTTGTTTGTTTGTTTGTTTGTTTGTTTGTTTTATGGTGCCCGGCTTTCTTCAAAAGGCTTTTGATTGCTTAGTGAGCTGCCTGTCTTTGTCCCCGGAATGTTTCTCTGAAAGTTTCACTGCTGTGTGTCCAGGTGAAGGAGGGTTTAGGGCAAGGGCAGGGCCAGAACTGGGAAACGAATGAACTTCTTCTTCCCAATACAGGAAAGACAGAAGAAGGCCTAAGGAGGCTACAGCATTATTTCTGGGAAGACTCAAGGGTCTGAGTGACTGGGGGGTGGGTATGGACTAGAGGAGGGGTCCTGTTCCAGAAGGCTCCAAGGAGGGCCAGCTTCAGGGACACGTGGCCTGGGCCCATGTTCAGAGGGAGCCTGGGCTCAGTTCAAAGCTCGGCTCTGTCTTGAAATTCTGATGAAGCTGAATCAGGGGCCCCAATTTTCTGTATTGCGCTGGGCCCCCAAAGTCATGTTCCCGATCCCATCAGGGTGTCACAGCAGCGAGCCGAGCAGGTGGGGGCTGGGAGCTGCCAGCACCCCTACTGGCAGTCTGTCTAGGAGCCTCAGCTCACAGAGACCCCAAAGAGGGTGCTGCCCTCCACAGCACTGACAGACCCTGATCATCCATTTCCCCCAAGAGGAAAACCTGCCGGGCCTTCCACGTCCTAGGATGGGATCCTGCCCGTCACGTGAGTAAGAAGTTAGGTGTTCCTCAGGCCAGTGAGGAGGGTGGGTAGGGGTGCAGAGTGAAAAGGGCCTTGTCAGTGCCACTGCTGATTCCTTGGGGAGTCACAAAGTGGGGGGCATTAGCTATCTTTCAGAATCAGAGGGCTGTGTTTCTTTCCCACAAAGACGAGTCTTGGCTGGTCCCACCTAAGACCAGGCGGGGGCCCACCACCCCCAGCGTCCCTGTGGGCCTCCGTAGAGGTTTCTGGGAAGTGGGGAAGAGGGCACCTTCTCTCTACTGACTCCTCTCGCTGTTGGAAGTTTAAGGACATGGTCATCAGGATGGGAAGACACTCTTGGCGTCCAGCACAAATGCCCATGGGCCTGTGGTGCCGGCTAGTGGATGCTGGCAAGGTCTAGTCTAGGTTTTCTAACCATGGGGGACTCCTTCATCCAAATCCCAGAGTCAGGAGCTGCGATCCTCCTCCTGATCCTTCCTTCGCTCTGAAGGCAGAAGTCCTGTCATACCCTCTCCTGCTCAAATCCCTCTGTGGCTCCTGACAGCCTTGGGATAGAGGTGAAAGTCCCCGCCATGGTGGGGCACCATGCTCTGGCCTCTGCCATCCCTGACGTGTGCACAGGTCACAGTTACACTTCTGTTCACCCACTATCCTGTTCTCACCTGCTACCCACACTTCTCCACCCACTGGGTGCACCTTCCCTTGGCCACCGCCACCTTGTTCCCGCCTGTGTCACCTGCCAGGAGTTGCCTGGCTCTACAACCAGGGGTTAGGAGCTGTGCCGGGAGACCAGCTGCACCAGCGACGTCCTGTTGGCCATGGAGCCCCCTCCCCTGAGTCTCAGCTGGGCTCAGGTGCCATTTTCCAGCCCCTCTTGAGGCCAAGAGCAAGCCCATGGACTGAGGCCGGGAGTGTGCATGTGCTCGGTGGAAGGCGGATGGCTGGGCCTCTGTAGCGTCTATGTCCCCAGATGTGTCCAGACCTCCCTGGATAGCCCGGGTTCTGTGCCTCCCGCCAGCCTGGACGGCCTCCCCTCGCTTGTGTGCTGAACCTCCCGCAGGTGGGAGCCACTCTGGTTAGAGGGTCTCTTTGTTGCAACAAAGTATCCTCTCTCTGAGACTGACCGTCACTTGCTGTGGTACCCCAGCGCCTGCCACGACGCCTAAAACAACACCAGTGGTAAAAATATTTCTCGATGCCTGGAGGCATGTGTGGGTTGGGCACAGGGCCAAGCTTTGCCTGTAGAGCTCCCCCAGTCCTCACTACAACCAGGAGCCACAGGCAATTATCATCCTTCTGTCATGATAGGTAAACAGAGGCCCAGAGCTAAATGCTGGGCTAGGCCACTTGGCTAAAAATATTTGACCCCACACACTAACTCCAGGGCTGTTCTCTGCTATGACACTCTGTTGCTTTCCAGACTCTTGGAAATGGGAGATTCGAGAATGACTGATGATGAGTGGATGGATGGATGGGTAGGTGGGTGGATGGGTGGGTGGATGGATGGATGGATGGATGGACGGATGCAAGGATGGATGGATGGATACAAGGATGGATGGATGGATGGATGGACGGACGGACGGACGGACGGATGGATGGATGGATGGATGCAAGGATGGATGGATGGATGGGTGGATGAGTAGATGGATGGGTGGATGGATGAGAGAGAGAGAGAACACAGGGCCCACTTTGCCCCAGGCTCACCTGCATCCTTGCCTGGCTCCCCAGGGTACCTCCTGCTGTCCTCAGGCCTTACAACTCCTTCTGGACCAGCTGTCTCTGAGCTGACAGTCATTCTGTTGCTGTTGCCGATGGCGGTGTCCTCAAGGAAGCATGAACTGATACAGACTCTCTGGGCCACCTCCTCCTCAGCAGAAGGTCCTGGTTTGGGCATTCGAATTTTGAACAAAGCTTCTGGGCCATCCGTGGTGGCAGAGACTATGGGTCAGCCAAAGACAGAGATGTCAGGAGGGCTACATGAGCAGCAGGATGGTGGCCCTGAGCCCTGACGGCCCCCCAGCCTGGCTTTCAAGTTCTCCCCGGCCGGTTCTCCTCCCTGAAGCCAGGCCAGGCTCGGTCCACAGCCGAGAGCCTGCCTCCCTCAGCACCTCTGCACACAGCCGGGCTGCCGGCTCTCTCTGCCACCCAGGTCCGCCGGCATGGATGCCACCTCCTTTTGTGCCCTTCCCCGGGATTCGAGCACCTCCGCCCTCCCCGCCCCCGCCCGCTCCCTTCTCTGCTGCTGGCTTCCCCGTAGCTCCAGAACACCATCTCCAACCTGTGCTTAAAGTCTTCTCATGGTCACAGCCAGCCCCCAACCCCTGCCACCTGGCTCCTTTCCCATCCAAACTTCGGACAAGAGTTGCACACAGTCCCCCCTCCTCCTGACGCTCCTCTGTCACCTCAGGTCACCACAGACCCCTGTGGCTGGACCCCATGGAACTCCCTGAACTCATTCCCTTTTTTCCTTCCTGGAAACTCTCCTCCGGGCGTCCCTGCCTCGCTGCTGTTTTGCCCCAGCCTGTCTCTGGGTTACCAGAGGACTTAGCCTGGGCTTTCTGGTCCCTGTGGACAGCACTCGGTAGGACACCAGGTACTCAGATGGCTCCTGCCCCCTCCTTAGAAGCCATTCCAGGCTGGCCGTCTCCTCTGACCCTGCTTCATCTGGTCCATGCCTGTCGTACAGAGGATACAGTTTTCCCACGGAGGGTGGGTGGCAGGGAGCGGGACCCCAAGTGCCGGCTCTGGAGCCCCACCTGCTCCACTGTGTAGACAGCCTCCCGGTGGAAGGAAAGGAATTTCCCATCTTGCCTCTCTCCTGGCAAAAAATGGCTCAAGTTCTGTCCAGTGGGGAGATGGATGGGGTGGGGTGGGGGCAGGCTGGGTTACCTGGGGGGCTGATTGGGGGGCTGCAGGCTGCAGGGCCCTTGGCCGGGGCACCGTTGAGATTCATCTTGTTGCCGTGTCCCACCTGTACCCGCCTGAGCACAGACTTCTCCAAGCGGATGTCCTGGGGTCCCCAGGCTGCAGCCGGAGAGGTCTGAGATGAGGGGTCAGCTGGTGCCACTGGGGGGAGGTGGAGGGGAGCCATGGAGCCTAGCAGGGGACACAGCAACATGACCTCAGACCCTCAGCCTCTGAAGCCCCCTCCCCCCCTACACATGCAAAGTCCTGGCTGGACAGAGGAGACTGGCCTCTGAATTCTTGGTGGGTTCTATCGGATGGGAATGAGTGTTTCAGGCTATTGATGGAGAGCAGGCAGACCCAGTAGCACGGTTAGTGTGGGGGTCCCCTGGGGTGTCCTGAGGCACTGGAAAACCCAGTCAGTGAGCACAGCCCTCTGCTCCCTAATGCTCTCAGTCCTCTGAACCCACCAGGGCGAGTCTCCTTGGGTGTTGGCGTATCTTTAACACCCCAGAGCTGGGGCATTCAGAGCCTTGACGTTTTCTCTTTTTGGTATTTATCTTTATGGTAAACTTCCTGGTTTTAAACTTAACGTTAGGCTATAAAAGCTAACTTTAAAATAAATTTGAGTAGAATAGAAAGATAAGCAATTTAACTATATTAAGTAAATAATCAGACATGGGCCTGGCCCAAATTGGGGAGGGCAGAGGCCAGAGGACTAAGGTTGGGGAGACATTGACCTAGATTCTAAAACAAAGTTCCTCATTTCACTGCTGAGGAAACTGAAACCCAGAGTCGGGGGTGGGTGGGGGAGGAGTAGGCTCTCTCCGGGTCACAGGGAGGATGGCAACTTTTGGGCGGATGCTGCCACTTATGTTCCGTGGCTGCTCTGATAGGGGCCCTGTGCCCTCTTGCCCCAGTGTCTGGCAGAGAGGAGGCACTCCTTTGCAAGACTGTATTTTAACAAAAGTAGGATGTTGCTGGTAAGATGCATCCCAGTTTCTAAGATGTTAAAATGTGTGTGGGGGGCCCATGGGGGGAGTGTGTCTCAGAACAAAAGAAGTACTACAGTGACGCCTTGGGACATTCTACTGAGGGAGCGTGAACACTGAGCTGTTTCTCATGGCAAAGTAACAGGTCCCATTGAAACCAAGGCAGAAGGTATCAGAATGAAGGGAAAGCAGGAGGGGTTTGATCCAGGTACAAAGGAAGACTTCCTCCCTCTCAGGAAGGCCACAAAGGAGGACCTTGGAGATCTGAGAGCTGCCCTTTTTCCTCAGAGCTTGAACGTCCCCCTCTCTGCTCCCACTCTGATGGAGCAGGGACCCCTACCTACAGGGAGCAGGTGTCTCTCCGAGGACTCACCATTCTCCCCAGAGGCCGTCGGTCTCACGATGACATTCCCATGTCCAATCTGGATGTTTTCAGAGTTGCCAATGGAAATGTGGTTATTGGGTCCATTCTGACAGATCATGTTGATTGGATTTTTCTGGTAAATTATTGCAGGGGCCGGATTCCTTCCTCCCAAGTCTGCAAAGTCATACTCCACTCAAGCCCTCTGCCCTTCCTGGGGGTCGGGGGTTTCAAATACCAGGGAGCAGCAACCAAATCTCCAGCAGAGCGTGTTAAAACCCAGACGCCCCCGTGTCCACCCTGAGCGTCCTTGGTCAGGAGGTCCAAGGCGGGACCCAGGAGCCGGCGTGTGTCACAAGCCCCCCCCCCACCAGGTGTCCCAGGTGAGCCTTGCTTAGATGTCCCAGGGGTGGTCACCCTACCTGTGTGTCCTCTGCCACCCCTGGGAGGATCGTGGTAACCTCACCACCCACCCCATCCTCTGTCCCTGTCACGGTGAGGCATCCCCTGACCACTTGGCTCCAGGACTCCTCTCCCCTTCACGAAGACTGCGAGCGGGCTGACCATGGGCTGTTTCTGGCCACGGGATAATCTCTCTTTGGCTCACATGGCACTTTGAAGAATGGGGACTTTCCACCAGTGTTTAAAACCTGGCGGCTGCTGTGTCATCCCGCCTGCGATGCGGAGCCCCTCCCCGCCTCGAGAGCCGTGAACTTGTACATCATCCCGCAGGCCACGTGAGCACCTGCCTGCGGCTCCACCGGCTCCACCGCAGGGCCACGCCCCACCTTTGTGGGACCTCAGCTCTTGTGCCTTGTTGGGGGCCTTCCTCCATAAAAAAAATACTCAAAATAACCGTGTTTGACAGGGTTGGATAAAGGCAAATGTCATTGACACCGGAGTCATGATTAACTCGTCTTTTTTTTTCTGATTTTAAGAGGAATTAGAACAGGGTCGTGGACCCTAATGCTAGGGCCTATGCCTGCTGCACCTGAGGGAGACGTCACCCAGGCCTCCACCCTTTGGGTGTCTGGGCCCAGCCTTCTCTTTCGGCAGCTTCAAAATTCCAAGTTGGGCAAAGTGCTGACCAAACTGTTAGCAAACTCGGGCTGAGCCCCGCATCCCAGGGCTGCTATAGTTAGGAGCAGGACACCTCTGCTCCCGGCCCCTTGCCTTCGGCAACTACAGCCTCAAGTCACTCCTCCAGGAAGCCCTCCCTGGATACTCCCACCAGCACATCCACCTTCCTGGTACCTCCTTCTAGGGACCCATCAGCAAGTTCACCGCAAACTTCGGTGAGGGTCTGACAAGGAACCTGGGGCTGGCAAAGCGCCGGGCAGGGCGCCCACAAGCATTGGATGCTATGGTTTCTCTTCCCACCCTGCCCCATCCAGGCACGGGTGGCAGATGAGGACCTACCTGGCCGATAAACTGCCCATGTACTTGACTTCTCATCCAAGTCCAGAAGGTGCTTCCTCCTCATGGCGTACAAGTCTGGGTTGACTTCTTTCGCTGTCTTCTTTCCCAGCATCTGGGAGATGGTCAGGGCCTTACAGGGCCCCTGGGTTTCCAGAATCCTGTAGATGTCTTCCTCTGGGAGGCAGGGCAGTGGGTGGAGAAGGAGGAGCCCGGGTTTGAATCTCCTCCGCTGCTCACTAGCGCTGTGAACTTGGGCGACCCAGACCCCCTATGCCCTATGGCCCCATGGGAAACATGTGGCTGTAAGAACAGCGCCGCTCAGTGGCTGTTCTTGGGAGCAGAAAAGACATTCGCTTGCCAGACGGTGCCGGGCACAGGGCAGGCACCCGTGGCAGGTGCAACCATGGATCAGGGAGCCTGCCCAGCCATCTAGCTGCTTCCACTGTGCTGACTGAGTCCTGCCTCTTTGTGGGCACCTCTGGGGGGACGGGACAAGAATAACATCGCAAGTGGCCAAGGAGGGTTGGGGCGAGTGGGCTGCTTACGCTGTTTAGTGAGCTGACGGCCAGGTTCCTCTGGAACTGCAGCCACGTCCTGCTGGAGCCACTCTGCTGGAGGAGGAGAGAGCAGTGGGGGGCATGAGGGACGGCAGAGGGGACAGGGACCCCATGGGGCAGAGGTGGGCCGCTCCATGGTGGCCCCGGTGCACCAGCGATCGGGACTCAGAGTCTAGAGTTAAACAAACCTGCCTTCCGGCCTGCCCTGCTGCTCTCCATGCCCCCGGCTTCGCTGCTAACTCACGCCTCTGGGCCGAGACGGTCATCCCCCCATGCGCAGGCCAGGGAGCACCTGCTGAGCGCCAGCTCTGGGACCCCCACCCGAAGCCAGGTCTGTTCTACTCCCATCCCCACGTGGCCGTCGTCTGTGGCACTCCTGCTCATGCTCTGCTGAGCGCCTGCTGGGTGCGGCCGTGAGGCCCTCCCCTCCTCGTCACCCCAGATCTACAAGGCGTGGCCACGGGGTGCCTCGCACCCTTGAGAGGCAGAGCCAGTATTCGGGGAGCCCATGTTCAAACGCAGGCCCGGAGCCCATGTGTCCGCTGCCAGGACTGCCCGTGCTGGGCCCCCCGCCCCGTTCCCTCCTGGTGGGCAGGTTACCCTGGCTGGGCCAGACCGGCTCTGCGGGCTCCACTTCTCTGGTCCCACCCTGGCCCAGGCCCCACGTCGCCAGGCCTTCCAGGAAGACTTTGGACTCCTTCCTCATCCGGTAGAGGACTTGGTTGAGTTTCTTCTTGGGCACTTGGCATTCCTTTGCCAACTGGACAGACCTCACGGGGGAGCCAGCATCCCTCAGCACCTGCAGGATCCTCTGCTCGAGGTCTGGGAGGAGGAGAGAGGGACAGAGAGGGAACTGACTCCTTCCCGAATGGAGCCTGGGCTGGAAGCACCGGGGCAGGGGAGGCACCCCCGGGTGAGGGGTCCAGGGCAGAGGGAGGGGCGGGGGTCCAAGCAATGATACCACTGCTCGGGGATGGAGCCAGGCAGCCAAATGACCTTGGCTGCACAGCCCAGGGACCAGAGGAGGTACCCCAGCCTTCTGAGTATCCCTTGCCTGATGTGAGCCCCTGAGGGCGAGCGGGGGAGGCTCAGCCGTCAGACCTCCCCAGAGCAGAGGGATGTAGAGGGTGGCAGGGTGGGCTAGATTGAGGGCAGAGAGCAAGAAATAGGGGGAGGCAAAGTGCCTGCCTGGGAGGCCTGCTGTCTCCGCCTCCCCCCGGTGCCTTCCCCTCCTCGCGGGCTCTCCATCCACATCAGGGGCGCATCAGCTCATCCAAGCCAGGAAGCTAAGGACACGCAGAAACGGATCTTCCTCCCTGATGCCCAGTTACAAGAGAGCCTTGGAAACCTCATTCCTGGCTCTCTCGAAACTTTTCTTCTCCCTTCCATGCTTCCACCTTCCGATTCTTCATCACCGATTCCCAGACGACTGCGGTCGGGATCCCTCCGGCCCACCCTCCCCTCAGCAGCCAGAGCTTGCTCCCGAGGGCCAGCCTGCCATGCTCCTTCCAGCCCGTTCACCCCTGGGCCTTTGCACACACTGCTGCCTCTGTCAGGAATACTCTTCCCACTCTCCACCTGCCCAACATCTACTCAACCTCCAGGTCTCACTCAAACACCATCTCTCTTGGGGAGCCGTCCTGGGTGCCCCTGAGTGTTTGTGTGTGTCGGTGGGGGTCCCTGCAGAAGGTCTCCAAGGACCCCCCTCTGTGATTGCCAGGTTCCTTGTATTATCTTTGGTGTCTAGCACAGTGCTGCGCACACAGTAAATGCTCAGGAAATAGCATTTGAATGAACAAGTGTCTGAGTGGGTCTGCCCAGCACAGGGACAGGTGTCTGTCCAGATGACCCAGGGCGGGGCCTGGGCAGCTCCTTCTGGGTCATTATATCCCCACCTGAGGTTAATGACCCTAAGTAGAATCCCAGAGGCTGGAGAAAGAGCTCTCTGAACGACCCCTGTTCCTCTCAGACAGGCTCCCACAAACCCAAGCCAGTGGCTCTTTGGGATGCCGAGAACAGGGCACACCCAGTGCCTGGGGAGCTGGAGGGAGCCCCGCGGGAGCAGCGCAGCCTCTTGACAGGAAACATCTGCTCCCAAGAACACGAGGGAAATGTAAAGCAGGATCCTTCTGGGGAAGACCCGGGGCTGGGGCCCCTTGGCAGGGCAGCAGCCCGACCTCTCACCTTCTGGGCTTTCCCTAGTGGGGGGAGGGGTTCTCCACTGTCTGGCCCTGCAGCTGGGCTCTGAGGCTCGCCCTGTGACCGGGACGTGTTGGTCCTTGCTGGGTGCAGATGAGGCTCGGTTAGACCGCCTGGGGCCTCTACCCCTTCACCCACCGAGGTCAGCCTCCAGGGGCCGGGGATCCCCCTCCCATCAACAGCGAGCCTGACTTTGCCTTGTCTTGAAAAGAGTTTCAATTCTTGAAAAGCCTGCCCCTGGGTGAGCGCCTTCCCCTCCCTCCTCCACCACCCACCTGACCCCAAAGGAACCCCAAAGGGGTCGTGGGGTCGGAGATCAGAGTGAGGGCCGAGCCCATAGGGCTGGCGGGCTGAGTCTTCAGGCTGGTGCGTCTGTAAACGGGAATTTGTAAAACGGACGAGGTGTAAGTGACAGGTTGGCAAGGCACACCTGGGAGGGAGAAGTTAAATTCACCCGCTGAGTGACAAGTACTTTCGTGTCCCCCTCATGGAAGTACAAGAGAAACCGGGGATGATCCCGGGCCCTGGGGGCACCCTGAAGGCACCCTTCCCCAACCCCCCACCTGACCTCTTTTCTTTTCTCTGACTGTGGTTTGAGCGCCTACTCTGCCATCCACGGTATCTCTCTGTGCCTCACTTTTCCCACCTGTGAACTGGGGATGAGAGCAGCTACCTCCATGATTATAGTGAGGAATAAACCAGCTAATGATGACAAAACAAGAAGAAAAAACCAAAGCCACCCTCAACCCACAGCCCCCAGGCTCTCTAGAATACACAGCTCGCTTTTCTTGGGTTTTCTTCCAGGAGCCAAGTGTTATCTGTGGTACGGGGGAAACGCAGTCTCGCATATCTTCCTCTCCTGTTGTTCCTTAAAATGAGTGTGAGGTCAGGTCTTCAGACCCCAGTGTCAGCGGTGCCGCCCAGGGTCCCCCTTGTAGGGCCTCAGCGCTGTGCTTGCCCCCCGAGGGCTCCTGAAAGGTGTTCGAGGTGCTCAGGGCAGAGGCGGCCTCCCCGACCAGACCCTGGGTTCCCCTCGGCTCCCGCAGCCACTGTGCTTGGGGACACTGTCAGCTATCATTGCTGTCGTCTAACTGAGGAAAGGAGCTGGAAAGAAAAGTGCAAATCCCACAGGGAGCGTCTACTGTCCCTTAGAAGGAAAAAAGTACCTGTTTCATCAGGGTCCCCAGGGGCCTGGGACATCCTGGCTGTAGAGGCTGGGGGCCTGGAGACGTGGGAACCGTGGCAGGCGTCGGCAAGGTGGCTTGGAGAGGACAGGCTGGGAGGAGGCTGGGTGTCCTTGCTTGGCTGGATGTGGTGCTCCCACAGCTGTGAGGGGACGCGTCAGCTGGGTGGGTGTTTGCTGTTCACACTCCAGAAACAAGCCTAGTCAGCCTGACCTGACCAGCTTTCTGGGGAAAAAGAAAACGAAACTCCTGTGTGTGGCCTCAGAAAAAAAACTGAAAGCAGAAGTGATAAGCAAGGGCCTCTGAGTACGTGTAGGTAGAAAGAGGCTGAGCTTGGCAAGACAAGAGCATTCTCTGGAAGCGCGAGGCTTCCCTGACTTTCTGGGCGCTCGCCACTGCCCACCCTGATCCCCACATGTAGGCTGAGGCCCCTGGTTGGGGGTGGCTGGGCTGCTGCAATCGTCTGCGCGTGTCAAAATCAGAGGTCTTTTTAGTGAGCACCTGCTATGTGCTTTCCAATCGTGCATGCCCCTCCGACCCCCCTTCAGTGCAGGGGCTGGTACTGATATCTTTTCTCAGAGGGGAAACTGAGGCTTAAGTCATGAGGTCACTTGGCCAAGGCTGGGTTCTAACTCAGCCCACAATTTACTGGCTGCCTGACTTTGGGCAAGTTTGTAAGCATATTTGTGCCTCAGTTTCCTCATCTGTAAAATGGGGCTAATAAAAGTAGCTACTCAGGAGGTCGGGAAGAGGACTGAAGGGGGTCATCCAGTTGAACAGTCTGACCAGACCACACCTGCAGTGCCATCTCCAGCCATGAGCACGGCGGGCACTCACATACCTGGAAAAAGGACCTATCCCTTCCATGTAGTTTCAAGGGGCTCCTGACCCCCAAGTAGGTCAGAGCCACCGTTCTTTACCAGGTAACAGAAAGGGGAACCGAAGTCTACGGTGGTGAAGGGCTTGGGGCCAAGCAGCCAGGAGGGCCACCAACTAGCCCTGGAAGTCCCTGGGCTCAAGGTTCCAGCCTCAGATGCCTGGGGAGGATCTCCACCTTGGAGGACTTTGCCTCAGCACTTCTGCAAAGGGAGGGGCTCGCCCATCTGGAGCAGTGTTTGCAGAACGGGCAGTCCTGATGCCCCGTCCCCACCCAGGCCACTTTCAGCCCGGAGTCTGGGGGCGGGGCGCGCATCGCAGGTGCGCTGACGCGCATGCGCCCCCCCTACGCCCGCGACCACATCCGACAGCTCAGAAGCAACAGGAAACCTCAAGGGTGTTTTGTTTCTGTTTAATGTAAAAATGAGAAAACGTGCTTCTCCCTGTGCATTGTCAATATCCATTTCAAACGTGCCGGGGCTGTTGAGGGAGACAGTGGAGGGGCACCCAGGGAGGGGTCTCGTGCTGAGCCCCCAGTGGGAGGCTGGCGGGGGGCGGCGTCCTGGGACTGGCCACCAGGTGGCGCTCGCTCATCAACCTGGACCCCTGGGCGGCTCCCGGGTCTCTCTGATGCGGAGGGACCCCCTACCCATCACCACCCTCCTTGGGAAACCCCTGACTCCATCTGGCCCCATTCCCTGGCTGCTCCCCATCCTCCCTGGCCTCTCGAACTCAGCACGCTGCCGACCTCTTCTTGTGGAGGCCGGAGGCTCTGGCTTTGACCCAGGTGTCACCTAGGCTTACAGGTTAGGCTGAGACTCGGGCTTAATCCTGAGGGTCAAATTCATTTCTGGAAGGGCCGCTCGTGCTTCCGTGGTGGTGGCCGGCACCCTCGTGGCCTGTGTTTGGACAGTTTTGGATGGTCCCTTTCTGCCCCTTCATGCCCCTGTCCCGCAGCGTCCCCATCCCCACTTCCCCGCCCCCATCCTGAAGCCACGCGGGGCTCGCACACTGGCTTCGGAGCCTGCGGCAGGAACCACTAGGTTGGGAAGGCCAAGTGCCCCCGGGACCTGGACAAGGTTCTGCCTCGCCTTCTTCTTAGGCAGGTCCCAGCTGCAGACCTGCCCCTCCCTAGCTGTGTGTCACCGTCTCTCTGGGCCCTGGTTTCTTTAATAATAAAACAGAGATAATAAACAAGAAAAAGCCTGCCTTAATCAGAGCTCATGAAAGTGGCAAAAGTTGGAAAATGTGACACAGTGCATCTGTACAAAATAAGTTTAGACGCTAGAGACAAACAAACAAACAAAACCCTGAAGCGTTCCATAGCATTCTGTCCCAGGTCTGGAGTTTATGGAAGCCACACACCTGCTGGGAGGGTCTCACCATGCCGAGTGGGATTCCCACTTTTATTTTTTTTTTTTAAGATTTTTATTTACTTATTTGACAGGCAGATCACAAGTAGGCAGAGAGGCAAGCAGAGAGAGAGAGAGAGAGGAGGAAGCAGGCTCCCCGTTGAGCAGAGAGCCCGACTCGGGGCTCAATCCCAGGACCCTGAGATCATGACCTGAGCCAAAGGCAGAGGCTTTAACCTACTGAGCCACCCAGGCACTCCAGGATTCCCACTTTTAAAGATTTGGATTCTCTTACATTTCATTTCTTAATTTAAGAGATTTTGAAGGTAATTTTGACTATAACGATTAACTTTGACCCAAATATCAGTGGCTTAAACAATGCAGATGCCTTTTTCTTTCTCCCGTAACAGTGGGGTAGGCTGTCTAGGTTTGGTGTGGCCCAGTGTGGTGTTGAGACCCTGGCCCCTTCTATCTTGTTGCTCTGTCATTTGTGGCCTTCATTTCCAGGTTGGCCTTATGTTGTAGGATGACTGCTCAACTCCAGCCATCAATCTGTATTCCTTCCAGCAGGAAGGAGGAAAGAGAAGGGCAGGTAGCTCCCCTTTAAGAACACTTGTCAGTTGCACACACATTTTACTGACATCCTAGTAGTACCATGGCTAGTAGTACCATGGCCAGCAAGGAGGGTGGGGAAAGATGGTACTTATCCTGGGCCACAATCCACTGAGCTAAAATGGGGGTTTTATTACTTTGAAATAGGAGATAATAGGTATCGGGGGATACCAAGCTGTAGAGAATTTCGAGATTCTGTTTCGAGGTTCTCGAGAATCTGTTTTCTCCGTTTCGAGAATCTGTTGCTCCCCCAAGGAAGGAGCATGCCAGTATGTCAATTCACGGGAGCCTGTTGATTGAGCAGTTTTGAGGCTGAGTGCAAACCAGTGTCCACATTCTCAGAGCCTCCTGTCCAGTGTGGAAGGCAAAACAGGAGAGGAAGGGAGTAAGTGGCTCCCTACTCTGCCAGGGAAAGACCCCAAAGGCCACAGTAGTTCCAAGTTGGGGCCACTGCCTGCTCAAGCCCAGATCTCTTTTTGCCTTGGAAAGCACATTCCTTTTTCATGGTTTGTGTTTTTCTGGAAACTATTAGAACTCGCCACCCAAACCAGATGATAATTACATGTTACTGATCTCCAGTCTTTACAGCTCTCTCTCCCTTTTAAATAAGAGATATTTTTACTACGCATTGTGTTGGCAAAACCCAGTCTCCTTCCTACCAAGCAGCCTGGATATTATTTTCACATTTTCTCTGTGAATTCACCTCGGGGAGGGAGTAGAAAGGTCTGAAGGTACCAAATGTGGGTAATAATGTGTCTTCGGTCAGGGGCAAAGATCAGAGAATGAGAGGTGGCCCGAGGAGAAGGAGTGCACGCTGTCTCGAGAGCTATGAACAGTGGGCGAGGAACAAAGACCAGGGAAAGCTGCTTTGTCAAAGGCAGCAGGACCAGCTGTGGCAGCCCCCCCCCCAACCCCCGCAGGGACCTGCCTTGGCTCTGTTCGATGCCCTTTAAGGCAGAGCTCAGAGGGCTTCCCTTAGTCATCTGTGTCCACTGCAGCTGGATGGACCTGGGGTTCTGGTCTAGCACCCCTACTTTTTAGCTGCAGGCCTGGGAGCAAGTCGTTAGTCTTTTTGAGCCTCAGTTTCTCCCTTTGGAAAAGGAGATCAAAGCATCACCTACTTCTGGGATGACTGCAAAAGTTAAATGAGATCATGCACCTAGGTCCCACCAGAGCACTGAGCACGTAGTATGTGCTCAGTAAGCAGGAGCTAGTCATCGTCACTGCATCCTCCGCAGCTGTCCCCCTCTGACATGACAAAGCAGTCCCATTTCATCTGGTCTTTCACCAAATAATGATTCATGCTTTCTTTATGGGCAAGAAGTGGGCAAGGGGTGGGGAGGTTGGCCAGCACCAGGCTCTTTCTCTTCCTTTCCCACCACTGACACCCTGTAGAAAGCCCTTCCCCACATCCCAATGGATGGCTTGAAATGACTTTCCATCGAAGTTTTATTTTTATGATCAAAAGATCTTTTTGATCAAAAGATCAAAAGACGGGTGAGGCCTGGATGACATTTGCTACAGCTCTCTGCACACCTTACTCCTCCTGGGAACAAGGCAGAGTGGGGGCGGTGCGGGGTGGTGAGGGGGGTGAACTGGCTGGAAAGGTGACTGGGGAGGATTTGAATCCAGATCAAACGACCACAGAGCCCTGACCCCACGCTTTGCCCCTTTCCCGGCACCTGCCCAAGTCTGTAAAGAGCAGGCAGAAGTCTAACGATGAATTTAAAAAAATTCATTTCAAAACCTGTTCGCTCAATTAAGTTGGATGCTTTTAAAGACAAATTTAATTATTTTGAATTCAATAAAAGCCTTTTAATAAGATGAACATCATGATTTCAGGCCTCCACTTTCAGGCTTACCAGTCCCGGCGAGGTGGGGACCGAAAGGGAGGGAGGGAAGCGGGGGCGAGGGCAGGGAGGGAGAGGCGGTGCGAGCGGGCGCACGCAGACACGCGCACCCGTACCCGGGAGGGATATTTATTTTAAAAATCTATTCGCACATTTAAATCCATCATTTGTTCCAAATTATTTGCGGAGCTTATAATGTTTTGTTTTATTTTTAGAAGCCGTTCTTTTACTTCGGTACAACTGCACCAAGTGTTAGAGGAAACGCGACGCCGAGCTGGCACGGCTCGCTGTGTGTTCTGTCTCCCCTGTTGGCGCTAGTCTTCCTCGCGGCGAACGCTCCGTCTAAGCCTGCGGCGGAGACAGGAAGCCAGACACCCATGCTGAAGTAATTTCAACAAATATCAACTCAAAGCCGACTTGAAGTAGCCAAAAATGTCAGGGCTGCCTTCCCAGCCCGGTGCAAAGGGAGCCTGCAGGGTGTGCACGCCCCAGACGCCGGGCTGGGCTCCGCGGGGGGGCGCCTTCTTTCAGTTTCCACGCCTTCACGGGGCCGGGGTAAT